TGGAACTTTTATTGTTTGGTACTCAGGGACTTCAGCAAGCAAGCATTGATTACCCATTTACCGACAGCAAGGAAAACACATGCACTTTCGCTTGACTGAAGTGCGGTCTTCTGAGTGCTGCTCTTTGGCAAAGTTGATGAAAACCTACCAAGAAAAGCCGAGAAATAATAAGGCCACATCTCACAAATGTGACGCTGACCGGGTCTCTAATATGCTCAAAAACGATGTTCACCAGTGCCAACTCTCACACCCAGTATTTTATAATCTTTATGACTGGTAATAACCAAAGGCTAGAGAGAGCGGGCGAGTTTGATCGAAGGTCAAAACGCCCTTGCTCCAACGCTAGTGCTTTGCGAACGTTTCACCTGATAAAACGAATGCTGGCTACAGACGTGTCATGCATGCGTAGCAACCTGTCGCCCGCAATTATTACCTTATTTATTTAGGTAATTAACGCAGCGTCGCCATAGATGGCCATTGTAACCGCGTTATTCACCCAGGCAACCCTGGAGTTAAAAAACTCAGGCGTTTTCTCAGTTTAAAAAAGTAAATGAACACGCATTAAAGTCAAGATTGAGATTTGGAAAATTGAGAAGACTGGCAAATACATAAAAAGATACACAATGATTCAAAGGTAGCACATTCACATAGTGGTTCTTCGTCTACCATAACTGATCGAAATGGAAGTTGGTAGTTTTGGTTTTTGAGGAGAGGGAAAAACTTGAGTACCCAGAAACCCCGGGCCACATTGCACGTGGAAAGCAAGTGCTCTCACCAATGCGTCACTCTTGCTCCTCAAAAATGAGCTTAACAGCTTTACCTGTTCTAGTGTTGTCTGGCTGATGCTGTAATCCACAATGTTCAACGCACTTCTGTTTCTTTCAAGCTGACCAAAGATGTACGACCAGCTCAGAGCTTCATTAACTATCTGGTAATGCAAGATTCCCTAAAAGAAACAATGCACAAACCATTACAATTCTAAAAAGTAGAACTTCATGTAATGAAAATTTGACTAAAGAACGTGAACTTAATGATTTTCGCAGTTGCTTGGTTCAGTATAGTATTGATAGAACGGTCAAACCTGTATGAAGCGGCCACCTCTATTAAGGTGGCTCAATGGGGTTTTTCACAGTCAATACCTCCCAAGTTTTAGCATAAACTACGTCGTCATTAACAAAGATTTGAAAAATTACCACCACGGCTGTATCAGATAAATATGAAAATTTGTTATGATCAGGGTTGCAATGAAATCGTAGCTGATATAGCAACGAAATTACGCCATTGCCTATTTTACTTAGAGCTGTATTTCTCGGCACTGGGAACCGTATTAAGCGGGCAACTGGTTATTCCCCAAGAGTGTCCGCTTAATACAGGTTTGGCTTCCTAAGAGTAAAATTGAGCTCAGTCAGGACTTGAGTAGTCTCCAACACAGCCGTGTCGTCACGCAACACTTCTCCAGGGACACAAAGAAGGCTTCGAAGGAGACTGGGACTTGCACGACTTACACTGTGACTGTCCATAAGAGTTGCTCCGCCAAAGGCACTGGAAACAAACTGCATGACTCTGTTAACAGCATCTATTGCCGCGGCGGAATCAGGGTTGTCCAATTGAGCCGTTGGATTGGCGAAGACCTGGGGCTGGCTCGAAGGAACAGCATGGGGACTTTGAAAGGCGGGTACAACTTCAACACGATTTACTAGAAGTAACAAACCGAAGACATTTTTAAAAGAACCTGGCCAAAAAAAGAGGAGCAAGTGCATGCTGTAGGACAAAAAAAAACCTACACTAAATTTCCCAACAAAATGGGGAGATAACAATTGTTTGTCTCAAATATTTTGACATGTAATGGATATATTCACTCTTCTTCTCCCAACAGCGCCTAAAATTAGATTTGAAAACAACACTATTTTTTTTAGAAAATTTTAAAACACAAAATTCCACACACTGACTCTATGTCAGAAATTCTAGGGCTAATTATTTTGGAAAATCTTTCTCTTACGTTCTTAACGATCAATGCTGCGCCTATGATTTCCGTTCATAGGCTCCGTTGACAGTTACCATTGAATTACCTATACTACATGTCTCCACAGTTAATTTTGAAGTTCAATGCGTTAACCTACGATTTAAGGCGACCCTAACGGGAAACGTGAGGGCAAAATACTTTGGGAGACCACAAGTTCCTACAGACTGATGCCATACTGGGGAAGTTTTCAATTCGTTGAACCCGTTAACATTATCAACCAATTCATTTACTGGGATCACTATACTTTTCTGGGAAACTGCCCACCTACCCCTCCCCTAAGCCAACCTTTTTCCCTAAGTGAGAAGCAAGTGTTAATGTTGGCTAAGGGGAGGGTAGGTGGGCAGTTTCCCAGAAAAGTATAATTTTTACTTTACCTTCAGAGTCAGCTATTCCTGTGAGCGAGACCGTAGGTTGCTGGCTACCGACCTTAACCATCAATGTATACCCTCTTCCAAATCTGGTGAATAAAATAACGAATGATTTTATCAAGAAGAGCAACGGCCGATCTGAGTTTGAACTCGATCGGAAATTCAGAACACGAGAGAAAGAATAAACTAGGACATCAAAAGCTTCCCATCTACAGGCTTATTTTATACGAAAGATTCCTTACTATGTAGTTAAAGCTTTGTATACTAAGAGAGGCATTCTATTCACGCTCACTGAACATGACGTAAAAATATCGTAAGGGTTTGGGACGTGTTTAAACTGCAACATACCGAATTAAACTCATTTGCTCTGTCGATAAGTACTAAGAACATTCTACCATGGTGCATCGAGGTAACGGTACTCAGGAACGGAATGGCTCAGTATAGAGCTTGCAGGGCTAGAAAAGAAGTCCCGTCTGGTGGTCTGGGAAAAGTAGATTTTCTTGCTGGACAAGTAAATTTTAAAAGCTCACTTGCCCGATGCACAAGTGTCCAGGAAAGTTATCCTCTAAGCACGTAGTTGCCCCGGGCATGAAAAAATATGAGAGCTGCTTGCCCAAAATACGTGCTGGTGTTCAAGAATTTTTCAAGCCCCGAGCTTGCCTTACCTGCTCTTAAGATGCTGAGAGGAGCCAAGACATTTGAAGTGTCCGTTCACCATAATCGCCAGTCTTGTACAAAGAGCCTCGCACTCTTCCATGCTGAAAGAGAAAGCCACGTCAACATTTTAACCGCTAAGATGCTACAAATTTGAGTCTGTGCGTAACAAAAATAAACTAACAAAACAAAACAAAAATTCTTTAAAGCCTCAGCCTCACTGGTACGTAATTATTCCATTCTTAGCCTGCAAACAAGCGCTCTTGGCCATGCCAGGCGAAAACCGCTAAAATAGCAAGGATATTTAAGTATATCGTTTTGAAGTTAATTTTTTTGAAGGTTGGCGTCTGAAACAAACCAATACACGAAGTACATTATATTTTAGCACTACAAATTACGATCGCACTAATACGTTCTATTCTAAATAAGCAAATTCGTGAAATGCTTGTGCATAGTGCGTCCACTTGGTATTGAACAAAAGACACTGGAACAGTCTAGTTTAACCAAATGCACTGCCCAAACATGTGCTTAACAGAATTTGTACGGTATTTCAAGCCGTATATTTGTTCCTGGTTTCCCTGTTCACGAGTATCAATCTGTTTCGGTAGCACGTGCAAGTCGTATTGGGACCTTAAGATCCGAGGATGGCGACGACAGCGAACAAGTCACATAAAAAGTTAATTCGCATTCTTTCAATCTTCATCGCGATTATTCCAACTCACTTACTTTGTCAAAAACAGGCGAACTCTCCAGGAGTTGAATTCCTAACAACCATGATACATAAGTTCAGAAAGAGAAAGACAATTTCGTCGTGACTTCTTTACGTCCTCCCTAAAACGTGAAATTAGACATTTTCACGTCGTAGCCGTGCGGTGATGGCAAAGAAATGAACAAAAAAGTGTGCTGCACGTGCAAAGATGTCAGTCGTTTTGCTAATCTTAACCTATTGCTCTCTTAACGTTCTCGTTGCCCTCGCCGTCGTCGGATCTTAAGGTCCCTGACGCGTGTACCTGTGTGACGTCAGCACGATGGAGCGTCCGTCTTTCAAGACACCTGTCAATGTATCCCAGAGAAAGCGTCGGGCAACTGGATCCATACCAGTGGTGGGTTCATCCTACAAAACAAACAATGAAGCATGTTAGTGGTTTCAAATAGGCCCTTTGTAGCTTGCCATTCACGTGGTACAAAACCGCCGTGCTGGGATGCAAACGTCGCACTGGGGCAAGACCAACAAAAGGCATACATAATTTGAAATGGTAATTTCCTTTTCTTTGAAGATCCAGACAGGCATTAGCAGAGTCCAGAGAGGAAGCCTTTAAACTCTGTCCCGTGACCGGTGCTCAAAATTCTTTTCTCTTTTCACTAGATTCGCCAATTCTTGGCAGGGTAACCACAACAGCGTGAAGCAAATTACTGCGGGCCCGTGACAGTCCCCTTCCCCCGTAACAAACAGACCACACCACAGGGGTCTAGCTCTGGCCTCCTACTTTTTTTAACAGCACTGTGGGTTTTATAACGTGCAATTGATAAGGAAAAAGGAGGAGACAACGCCAACGACTTAACGTCACCACCCAATGAAGCGATCATCTGACCTGGGATAAAGTCTTAGATTAAGGCCAGCATGATCTCGCTAGTCTTTTTTGTAAGACCCTGGCTGGGGGGCCGGCTGGGGTTTGAACCTACGACCTCCCGCTTGGTAGATCGGTGCTTATCCTACTGAGCTAATGGGGCAGAGGTTTTTTTTTTCATTTCTTTAGACTGACCTAAAAGGCTCAAGGTTTGGCTATCCGTAGCTGCCAGCTCACGGATTCTCATCCGGCTCGAGGGAGCAGTTTTGTCCTTCCAAAGGCAGAACAGTAAAAAAACAAAGAACCACAATACGATGTACAGTTTAATTTACCGTGCTAAGGTGCTTACCAGGAATATAATTGGTGGATTTCCAACCAAAGCAATTGCTGTACTCAGCTTTCGTCTGTTGCCACCGCTGAAAAACAAGACAAAAACAAATGATAAGTGCACCTCACTCTGAAAGACCTTTAACAACAAAAGGAAAAAATGAAGCCTCGATTATACGGAGAAAAGCGTGTCACGGGTTGAAGAGTCACTCGCCTACTCGAGCTACCCTGGGCCAGACAACTTTTCCTACATCTCCTTACAAAAGCGGGTAAATAAGTTTTGATGGCACAGTGTAGGGTTCCCCTCCTAGCTGGGCCAACGTTTCTCGCCCAGCCGCATCAACGCGGCCAAGGCGAGACTATCAGAGTATGCGCCAGCATTGTTGGCTCGAGCAAAGAGGTCACCTTTTTCCTTAACGCTACAACCAGTTACAAAAATGTTGAGACACTCCCACGAAATAACAACCTTTCATGCTTCAAATCGCTGCTAGTCACAGGTCGGTGAGATATGAACTCCCTCCTCCCTCCCATTCAAAGTTGTTCCTCCACGTTTTGAGCATGGTCTTGTATTGCTAGCAACTTCGATGAGGGGTGGAGGGAGGATCACAAGCACACCGGACTATGGACAGGCCATTTAAGCCAAAACAAGGTACAGTGTCTCAAGTACTTTTGGAACTGGTTGTAGCTTACGTTGACTCGGCTAGGAGGGCTCTTTCCCGGGACAACTTTTCTCCATGTAATCGAGGCCTAACGCAAAAGACAACTGATAACTAAGACCAAGGGTGTACCTATAGTTTCCACACAGAGAGTCCGCCCACTTCTCCAAACGCAGAAGATGAATAATGTCTGAAACAATGCCTTTGATCTTCTCGTCTGGAACTCCACGCAACCGAGCATACATGGTTAGCATCTCCCGTCCAGTCAGAAGTTCGATTAGCGCGTCGAACTGAAATACAAACACAAACGAGAAACGTAAAGTTTATGCATGGATACGATTTTTATTGAAAATGTCTCCATTCACTTCATTCAGGCTTGAAATGTTTCTCCAAATGTTTTAAAGATTTTCTGTGCATAGAGTGCTATAGAGTGCAGTCAGCAAGATTATATTTATTTCCTGGCAGAGAAAGCAAAATGAAAATGTAACAATATACAATGTATTGTCCCTTTATTCAGTAGCAAGTGCTATATGAGTCCTCTCGCAGCCATTTTTGAGTCGTCACACAACACTACTGTGCGGAGAACCGTTGCGTGACGACACAACAAACGGCCGCGAAGGAGACTAGTGCCATATAAGCGCCGATAAACATTCGTAAGAAAAATTTAAAAAATTGAATAAATTACATACCTGAGGACAGTAACCAATTCTCTGTTGAACCTGTTACAAACACGAAAATTTTAAGTGGCAGGGCAAACAAAATTAAAAACTTGTACTCTCTTATAAAGAGAAAAAATCAGCGATCATGGTAAACGCGAGAGTGAACTATTGTCTGCAAGAAAAGAAAGGTAAACATGTAATGGATGGAATGATGTAGTACCTGCTTCAAATTTGATTGGATGTTGAATCCATCCAGGTAAGCAGTGCCTTCCGTTATGCTAAGGTCTCCTGTCAGCATGCTAAATGTCGTTGTCTTACCCGCACCTTCAAAAACATTGATCAATGACCCATCAACATTGAGCAGTATGTAAAATTGACCAATCAATAGTTGATCAATATAATATCGACCAATCAATAGGTAGCACGTCAGTCTCATGTATAACTCCATAAGCAACATTCCAAATCAACAAGGTTGATGAATTATTGAATAGTAAAATTACCCTCTGTATATGAGTACATGTATTCACTAACTTTTGATGCAGATCTCGACTGATTGCTTCACTTCACAAATACGATAAATCTGTATGGACTTTACAATGATAAAGCAACCCTCCTGGTACTTAATAAAATCTTGTTCGTTAAACCACAGCTTATAATGTATGCATTTAAAATAAATCATCTCGTCCAACCATTTGATCAACAGACTTGTACGTCCGTGGATTTAGTTGGGTGAGGAAGGGGACAGGAAGGGATACTATCTAGTTCTGCAACGGTTCACCTACCGTTTATACCAAGGAGACCAAAACACTCTCCACGTGGAATACCAAGACAAAGATGATCAACTGCAGCTACGTGTGTACCTCGATATACCTGTGAACAGCCGCAAAAAGAAGTCAAATGTGAATTATAGGGTTCAATGTAATTAAGCTTAGTTAACTACTTAGAGCAAACGCGCTTGGTATTGCAGCGCAGCGTAGTGTTCGTGTGTTTTGGTACCCTGGCTGCCCTTTTAGGTTAGCATTATGGCACTTTCCACTGTTGCGCCACTGGGCCTTCGGCAGTTGAAAGAGCAGCGGCATTCTCGCGCGGTTAATGCGTGCATTTCCACTCGGGCTCGTAGTTTATATATAACACTCCTTAGTGCTCGAGGCGATTCGCTGTGATTGGACTTTTTAATGCTTTTCTACTCCTTCACCCCCCATCCCCCGTAGCTTCAGGTTTCGTTTACTCAGTTGCTTCCCTCCAAACATCCACTGAGCCTGCAGTCTTAGTGGGACATGCTAGGGTTTGGGCTGGGTGTGGCGGGCGGGCTGTGTGGCCGGGTTGCGGGTAATGGAGGCTTATAGGGTGTTCTACCGACCAGGATTTGGGTTGTCAGTAACAGGCATATGCATCGAAACGCTTGATACAAATTAATGCGTAGAGAAGTACCCGTGGGCTATTTTTACCATACATTGAATTGACTGTATGACAAACCTTTGTTAAATCTTTGAGTACGACAGCCTCAGCTTCAACCGCATTACCTTCTTGGTCAGACAATATGCGAACACGCTCGTTAAAAACGTCTTCGTCCTGTTTTAAATAAACAAAAATAATTAAAACAAATACAAGAGTAGTAGATAAGGACAAGGAAGTACGTCAGGATCATGAGCTGCATGGACGTGGAAATGACGTTATACCCTCTGTGGTGCTAAATTTGAGTCCTTTACTGTATGTAGCTAGCGTTCAAGGGAAAACTTTCAAATTACTTATGGATTAAGTGTTTTCCTCCGTCGAAAGCAATAAATAGAAAACTTTGAGCAGCATTTGGCAAAGACGTTGTATTTAAATAACTTAAATAATAAAGCGAGAGTTAACTACAAGCATCAATACAAAGACATTTTGCAACAATTAGCCCGTGATTAAATGACTTTAAGTTGATCATATCCATGGTGAAATAACACACATCGTCAAAATAGCTATGGTTTTGGAAGCAGACAATAAAAAAAGTCAAGTGCCTAAAAACACCAGTTTACATACTTCAATTCAAAGCTTTTTTTTCAGCATTGATCACGGTATAGAAACATTTACAAACACTGAAAATAAAGTCAGGTAATATTACACCTCTCCTTCCTTCCTCCTCATTTGGGGCTCTGAAGAGATGTTAACCTTTGCACTGATAAAAAAGTTCATCTGTGAAAGAAACCATGAGAAAAAATAAAGTTAATTTAAATGAAATTAATAGGACAACAAACCCAAGAATTAAAGCCAAATCAAGTGTCTCAAAAAACAAAAAAAGTTTAGACAAGGTATGTGGATAAAAACAAAAAACAAAACAATTTGTCAGACGCTCTCTGACAGCAAAAAGTAAACCAAACTACTTAAGTTGGCGAAACGGCGCAATATATCAACGCTATAATAAAAAGGCTACAGAACTACTAAAAAAAACTCAAAACATCGTGACCGCTGATGAAAAAATCACGCAAAAAAACAGTCTGTTCACAATCCTACAGCCACCATCTTTTACTAAAAATGATAACCAAAGCGAAACCTTCATAATATTGGGGAAGCACGCGGTTTACTTGCAATCGCCAAGATTGTGTAGTTCCAGAAAATATACATACACGCTAACCAAGGACAAAGGATATTCTGAGGAAGGGGGGAAGGGGGTCCAAAAGGCGGCGATATCCGAGGGGAAGGAGATGGCATAGATTGAAGTATAGTGCATTAGCATTTTTGACAGAAATATTCTTTCCAGGGGATATCCAACCAAGTGGGAAAATCATGGAAATTCCAGGGGCGATGGGCAATGACAAGTACATTGGGTTGGGTCGTCTAAACAAAAGTGCCTTCGCGAGATATGGATATTTCTGGAAATAAGCATTTCACCGTGCAAAATCAAGTGGCAGCCTTTTGAAAGACGTGTTCGCACTTAACAATCGCACGAAAAAATAGGGCATGACGAACAGTCTAGCGAAATGTTTACCTCAATAAGAAGAATGAAAAGGAACAAAACAATCGCCTCCACGAACATGTACAATGTAGCCTGACCCACCCCCGGACGGTCCCAATCAAGAACATTTTTTGTCCACGTGCAAGGAATGCCAGGTCTGCAGAGTCAATGACAGGTTTAAGGTAAGAGTAACAATAATTCCTTTGCAGAAATTGGTTACGTGCTTGGATACCACTTAGCAACGGCTCTCTGGATGGCACGCCATCCAAGCGTTCATTCCAATCACAAAGCTTTGATTGAAATCGAGTCAGTGAACCATTCCTGGCTAGTTAGGAGAGCAATGGTGACGCAGTGGTGAGAGCACTCGCCTCCCACCAGTGTGGCCCAACTTTAAAGCCCAGCATCGAAGCCATATGTGGGTTGAGTTTGTTGTTGGTTCTTTCCTTTGTTCCGAGAGGTTTTTCTCCGGGTACTCTGGTTTTCAGCTCTCCTCAAAAACCAATACTTCCAAATTCCAATTCGGTCTGGAACGCGCGGACACGCTTAAACGAGTTTTTAAGAACTCCTTAGTGCTTAGTGGGTAAACAAATTACAATTTACAGTTTTTTTTAAATTTTTATTTTTAATTATGTTGAAAATTAAACGAAATGACTGGGCAAGAAGGCCTAAAGGACGTTTAAATTAACCTAGGAAGGCTTCGACTGATAACATTCAAAGCTTTGTGATGGCTTGCCATACAGCAAACCCCCTCCAGCGAGGGAAGGGGGGGTACTCCCCTATATAAGTCATATGGGTATGTGCCGCCCCAAAGGGCACGGTGTTGCGCCGTTTTGGTCTCAAAACGGGTTTTTGAGTTGACTTTGTTCATTTTGGTCTGGAATCGGATATGGTTTGCAAGGGAACTAGGGGAATGCACGAACGTATTTATTGTTTCATTCCAAACGAATAAGAAAGAAAGAGAAATCTGCGAATTCGAAATGAATTTTAAGAAATATTTTTTGTTGCTGTTCTAATCTAACTAATGATGACATAATTTCTTAAAAGCCAGATCTGAGAATGGGTATGAACTTAAGAGGCCAGGTCTGAAAACGGGCGTGAAAAAAACCGGCATTTTTTGAGGGTCAGGATTTGGAGAACCGGGCGGCACACCCCCACCAAGAATTCCCAGGAGTACTCCCGGATCGAACCTTTGCTACGTGAAATCCAAGCGTGTGCGACCAAGGTCTGCAAAGGAGCTAATTCCTAGAAATGAAACTCGAGAAGTGGGTTTATTTAAGTGCATGTGAACGTATTTCCAAGACAAATTTCATATAAAAGGCACTAAAAAAATGAACAGGGGATTGTTTACTTACTCGCAGTGTTTTCGATTCATATTGTTTTGACTGATGTCCATGATACTGGCAGAAAGGCTGTTATTAAACGAAAACAAAGAATGTTCATAATTACTTAATTTATAGTGTCCTGACCTAAAGATTTTAGGTTTTTATTAAACTGAACTACAAGTGGCCCCAGCTCAAAATATTTTAAATGGCCATTAAAAAATGGGTTTTATTGGAACCGGTTAATTGCTCTTTCTAAAAGTCTCTATAATCCTTTCCATTCGAGAGAGCAAACTGGTTCCCACAAAACTCATTAAATGGCCATATATCGGCTTGGAAACCAAACAGGAAAGAAGAAGGTTAGCCGATTTTTATTTAAATCCTTTCACATCCGTAGGCTACACAAACAATTATTTTTTCTCCCATACAAATCCTTGTATTTTGAATGTTACGCAACAGTGCTGATGGTCATATTTCGAGCTTGGGTTACCTGTGTTAAAACGAGAACCCATGCGATTTAAACTCAACCAGACATTTTTAGATTTTTTTATGTTTTTGAAACGTTCAAATTTCCCGCAGGATTTTCAAATTTTCTCTTCGATATGACTCTTCCGTTTAGTCTTACAGGAGAGAAGAATATGACTCAAGACCAACAAATAAAGGTAAATATGTCAAAAAAAAGGCAAACTTACGAGTAGGTTGGAAAGAACAGACCGATATAGTGAACAATATCAGCATCGTCTTTCTTGCCGTTAAAAGTTAGGATATTGTTTGTTATCAGAAATGCCTAAAATGAAAAAAGGAAAAATCATTGTTATGCCCCCACAAAACCAAAATTACTTCATATTATTAATTGACGGGGTGAGGGGGGGGAGGGCGCTGGTTGTATGGAAGGCCGAGTTACAACCACTAAGAAGAAGTGCTTTCCAGCAAAGAAGACATTTAATCTCCTGCATGCAAGGGTGAGTATGTCCCTGCTGATTTTTTCCACAAAAATACTCTGCATCTCAACTTGGATGACTTCAAAAATACTAAGTGCTTTTAAGCTTCAGGCTTCATGATGTTGTTGCGTTCATTCTCGAACGTGAAAACTGGCCGCGTTTCTCTCGCCATGGTGGTAATACAACTGTCCAGCATGCTTTGATCACATGCTGTTCTATCACGTGCGGGGTACAATTGACCACTCCAGAAAATACCATAACAGACAGACCATAATACTCTTTGCTTGTCACCCTAAAATTTTGCATAAGCATTGTCTTCAGTTTCTCTTGGGAGTTGAAAAGGCCCCAAGAGAAACTGAAAACAATGCTTATGCAAAATTTGGGGGTTAAAAACAAAGAGTATTATGGTATGTTATGGTATTTTCTGGAGTGGTCAATTACTGAATTGTATCACGGTCGGGATGCATTCGAATTTTGTCAAGGTCACTTGACCAACAATCAACCAATGATAGTCCCTGTTTAGTTGAGTAAATTCAACTATATTACCTATATAGGTGACTGGTCTTACCATACTGACAACAGATAGGACAAAAACGGTCGTCGCATAGGCTGCAAGCGGCCCCTTGAACAGGAATGAAACCAAATAGACGAATGGCAGCATACACAACCCTAAAAGAAGCTAAAAAATAAAGGAAAACAGAAACTCAGTTTTGTGTACTAAGCAGTGCATTACATTAATTTAGGGCAAATCCTTTGTCAAGAAGAAGAGCTAACTTGATAGAAATAACTTTTAACGTGTAACTGTTTTTCTAATGGATACAAAATTGAATGTACTAGAAACACGAATAAGGCCCCGTCCACACGAATCCGGATAAAAAAAATATGCGGTTTCAAAAATGTGCGGATTCGTGTGGACATGGCCAAAACTTCCGTGGGTCGCCATTTTGAACTATGAGAACGTCATTTAGTACCGCCTGATGGCGGAAATCGACTTTCTTTCAATGACACCACGCAATTCAAACGGGGACGCTCGAGGAAATATTCAAGAGAAAGTAGACCTATTAGGGAGCTTAAGCAGCGACGTTTTTGAGCGACGCACGTCAACCGGAAGTGAGGTATTTTCCCTCTTAACATGCCTTGATGATATAAAATTTGTATTCCTTAGCTTCTTTACTGTTATAGAGGCGATTTGACTGAAAATTTGCGCGAAACCACCGTCAAAAAATGAGAAAAGGCCACTTCCGGTTGACGTGCGTCGCTCAGAAACGTTGCTGCTTAAGCTCCCTATTGATCAATTTTATATTTAAAAAAATCCTTAAAAACCTAACACAACCTCTCATTAATGGCTGTAATCACGTGCAATCGCGCAGAAAATTAACCGCTTTATACTACTACATTAGAAATTTCTGCAATTTGATTGGCTTAGAGCAGTGGTATTTCAGCTTAATTTGAAATACCTACATGTGAAAATTACAAACTTTTTGTGGGTAGTAGTATAAACAAATAACAGCATGATTTGTACGTGATATTTAGCATAAATACCACTTGTGATATTTCAAAATTGTCTCAAATTTCACTCGCCTAACGGCTCGTGAAATTTTGTATAACAATTTTGAAATATCACTTGTGGTATTTATGCCAAATATCACTACAAATCATGCTATCACCTATACAAATATGTATGTACGGTTGGGTGTCTGTCAAACCTGAAAATTCAATATTTAATTATAGCAGCCTGTTCTTGGCGTCGAGATAAAGGGGAATAACCCGAAATAGTAAACGGTAGAGAGGGAGTGGACAAAAAGAGAGAACGACATTCTATCGCCCTCTCTCCTTTTTTCTGCCCACTTTAGTCGCTTTGCGCCATCCGCCACTATCTGGACGCCTGGACCAAACTAACTGGTGTTGTCATTACCAATAACAGAAAAACCGCACCAAGATCATTCTTCAGTGAATCTACTTGAAAAGCTGCAAACATGATCATAATTCCAAGCAGTGGAAATAAATAGTTGATGAAGTCCCATGAATAGGTGGCCAGCCAAAAGGAGACGGCGTCCACGCCGCTTACAAATTGGAGATGCTTTGCCTGCACGAACACAAGAAAGGGAACCGCAGTGATTGTAAGTCAAGTGAACACTTCGCTGATACGGCGAATTCTAGAGAAAGGTAATTATTAAAAAGAAGTCGACCATGATAACCGCATCCGCTCCTCCTTTTCTCTTCGAATTGTCGAGTTTAGCTTTTAGAATTTAGCTTTTAGCCAAACCACCCTAATTTCTAGCGCCTTTGGCTTCGCCGCTCGCAGCTCGCGCACGCTAACCCATCGACGTTCAAGAGAATGGCCTTTTTTATACTAAGGACACATTATCCGTCTGGAAGAACTTGGGCGAAAATTTTGTTGTTCGTCTGGTTATGCGTCTACAGTATAAAGACGGGCATAAGACGCATTATGCGTCCAGACGAACTACGTTTCGTGGTGCGTCGTTCAAGACGTATTTCGAAGGAAAGTTCGTCCAGACGCATAATGCGTCTTGTGCCTGTCTTTATACTTAAGACGCATAACCAGATGAACTACAAATGTTTGCCCAAGTTGGTCAAGACGAATAATGCGTTCTCTAGTATAAAAACGGACAATAAGAGGCTACCTGCATTCTACATGCGCACAAATGAACCAAAACATTCAATGTACAAAAGTCAACCAAACCTTTGAACTTTTCTCCTTCACCAAAAATGGCACGAAACTTGCTGCAAGAAACGCCACAGCGAAAGCTAACAGTAGAGCAAGGAAAAACGAGCTCATGACAGCTGAGAAATTTTGAGTCTGAAGAGAACAAAACACACGAAGGTTTTGAATGAGTTACAAGAAGTAACAAACAATCCTAATTATTATTTCATAACATGATTAGTATAGCAGGTCATCGCAAGAATCCACGAAGGAATTTGCTTAAGAAAGCACGTATCCTAATATTTTTGAAAACAAAGATTTTTTCCTCCGTTTTAGCCTTCCGTCCCCACGTAAACGGCGTTTTCGGGCATCAAAAAACGCAGGTTTTCGAAAACGATCATCAGAGTGGCGTTTTTTTTTTAAAACGCCGGCTTACAACGCATGCACCGTAAGGCATGCAATCGTATTTCCATCGTTTTCGCCTTTATGTGTGGACGGGCGGAAACGATTCGAATAAGCTACGTGTGGATGAGGCTTAACTGGAGGGAATAGTACAAATGACTTTCTGGTGACCCAAGATTCCTGCTGACAAAAGAAACATCTTTTCTAACAAGACAACAAGACACTCTCGAGTGCTTAAGACATGTTATTATTCAGAGGAAGGACAAAAAACTGATGGCAATTTTAATTCCATTCTTAATCAGTTTTTTTTACGATAAATGAACAGGATAAAATGAAACCCTTTTTCTACTTTTGCAATACAAGGCTTCTTGTACATAACACATTTGTCCGAAATTCTTTATAATGTTACTATTTAACTTTATAACATAGAAAGTGGGAATAAAAGAAATATTTATTATCTATCATTATCAAGAAGGCAATTATGCTAAGGAAATTACCCGCTGTTCGGAATTGAGTGGCAGAGGATAGTTAATGGTCTCAATGTGATATGAGTCATCTTTCTTGCTGTAGGCCAACAGAACGTTCACCAAAGCACTCAGTGCATCTGGTTTTGTATGATAGCCCTGACCAAAACAATACGTGCAAAGTTAAACACATAAATAAATAAATAAATAAATAAATTAGTAAAAATACATTAGCAAATCCACATACTAATACGCCAAAAGACCTTTCCCGCATTCCGCTCCAGTGAGCAAACATAGAAAAATGAGTTAAGTATTAGTCTAGTTTAGTATTAGAAATATGGACTTTCACTGTATATTTCTCTGGAAAAAGGCGATCATTATTTCATCCAAACACGGCACAAGGATCTTTTGTCCCATTAGAATCTTATTCTAAGAAAACTTTAAGAAAAAATGTCCCGAAAAGCGTTCGAAAATACAAACGAAATGTGCTCATGCCCCCTGGGCATCCTATAATACTCCTTAAATCGAATTAATTCAATATGGCCGCCGTATCGGTAAAAAGGTCTATTGTGTGAAGTTTACTGTGTTATTGTGTAAGGGCTAGGGATCATTATTGTGTTCTTTGTGACGTAACTCGAAACTTGCTATTCACTTTCTGGTGCACCAGCCCAAACAATGTAGTATTCTTTATTGCTTCTAAACTGATCAACAGCTAACAAATTTCTTGGAACCAAAAAAGGTTTAAACATAACAAAAAGGTCCAACTCCCGCAGGACCGTGCTTTGAAACAACAAAATGGCCGCCGTTTCACTGCCTTGTGACACCAATATGGCGAACGTGACGTCATGGGAGCGATAAGGAATACTAAAGTGTGTAAACTTCATAAGGTGTCCTGTCTATCGTACCCACCTTACTGCTATACCACACTGTCGTGTCAATACTTTCAAGGTCACTAGCCGAGTTACCATCACGTGACTCAAAGCTAAAACCCACAACATGTGTGTTAAAATAATCAGCAGCATTACTTTTTTCCAGCACATATTCATTATAGAATGTCATTGAATCGTTCACTTTCGTGTTACCAATTCCTATGTTTCTGCATTCATAGTACGAGCTGAAAGGAAAACGAAAAAAAGGGTGTTATCTCTTCAGGGCCCAAGAGTGACCAACAACAATTTTCTTCTAACAACATCAGCAGATCATCAAGAGTAGAGGTTATAAGAATAACTAAATTGACTACCAAAGAGAGAACGCTTTGATTTTAAATCAAATTCTCTGAACTACCCAGAAAGAAATGAGAAATGTATGAAGATCAGTCTCGGGAATTTGTATGTGGATCTGGGGGCTTAAAAGCTTAAGCAATCACGACGGCGACGGCGACAGCAACGGCAACGAGAAAGGCAAAAACGCAATAAGTTTAGGCCCCGTCTACACGTATCCGGGTATTTTTGAAAACGTAACATCACCATAAGCTCCCTATTAACAAAAGAATACCGTAAACTACCGCTTATGAGCGACACCACTTATCCCCCCTCCCCTAGTAATAAGCCCATCTACATGTAAGCAAAAAATACATCCGATTATGATCCCATCCAATTATACCTCCCCTCCGCATAAAAGCCCCCCCTGTAGCTTTTCTTTCCTTGAATTCGACTTACTATGACGTTTGAAGCTTATTTAAATACCAGTAAATGCGAAACGTATTTCTATCAACAATGCAAAGGCGTGTTTCGAAGAGAGTGATAAACATTGCTACGATCCGATATTCTTACTTATCATTTATTACCTTTCGTCGTCGTTGATACATTTAGGACAGTAATTGTAACCAAAATTCTTGTTCGTTTTGCAAGATTCAGCTGTCAATTCGCTTGATGTGAACTTCAAAGAAAAAAAGAGAAAGTTTAATCCTTTTTAATGCAGAGTGCCACAAAATTACGGTGGTTCTACATCCTATGCTTTGAGAATTATTATTATTATTATTATTATTATTATTATTATTATTATTATTATTATTATAAGCGTCAGAGGTTCGCGAACGCCGTTTCGTAGCAAGATAGAGCAATCATTAGACTGTAAAATAAACGTCGCTAGTGCGGATATCTGAAATACGTGTCTATATGCTTTTATACTTAGGGCTTTTTATGGACACTTGTTTAGCTGTCATTAGTATAATTCGATTGTATGATCTTGATATCTCTGCATAATGGAATTCTTAATTTTATAGAATTTTGAACTTTTATTATTGATTATATCTATTTCCTCTTCTTTTATGTAAGGTTAAGTTACTTCTATTTTTTAGAATTTGTAAATGAATAGTTTTCTCTTTCTTCACTTATAATATATAGGATTGTTTTTGTTCTTATTATTATTATTATTATTATTATTATTATTATTATTATTATTATTTGTCATAATGACAAAGGCTAAGATTAAAAATTCAAATGACCTAAGAAAATTCACACCTAAGGAAACTGGAATCAAAGAAACCTAGAATCTTCTATTGAAAATTCAAATGAAAAGTGCAATTGCAGTTTTATATTTAGGAATTTTTGGATTCCAGCAGACGTGTGAAGGTCATGTACTGACAAAAACAAATTAAAGAGTTTCCTTTTGCTTGGAGCTAGACTTTTTGTCATACAAACTCTACAAAAAAACGTATCAGAGACCTTCAGGGACGACTCACTACGAGAACAAGATTTGCTCAATACTAAGTAGTGCGCACACGTGAGCCAGCTTTATTTTGGCGGGAAAATGTGATAGCCAGCGTCATTCTACTACGGGTTTTAGCGAGAATATCGTAGTGGCGAAAACTTGTTATAAAATGTTAGAAGTTTAATCATTTTGCGATCAAGTAAGGGTTAACCTCATTTAATAATAATAACCGTGCTTCTCTGGTGAAAAAAGTATGATGACGCTTTCCGGGATGTCTGATTTTTTTTTGAACGACCTCGACCTCGAAACTAAAGGTCTTTATAGTTTTGCTAACCAGTCGCAACACGTTGACCTTGTCATCAAGTAGTTGCAAACTGAGGATTGGCAGCAACTTACAGCTTTCTTGCACTTGGCATTCAGGACCAGAAATTCATAATTACAGCATACGTCTTTTTCATCGTCCTTATACTGAAACTTTTTCCCCTCCACCAATATACTGTTTCCTTGGTTGCCGCTCTGTATTTTATGAAGATCCGATTCAATGTCTTTCAAGGTTACTTTTACGTCCTTTAAGTGTTTAGAAGCCACCTGAAAATAACAATTTTAACAGAGTTATGTTAACCTTTATTATACAACAGATCTTTATGACAAATGAAAAGGTATTATTTAAGTCACATGCGCGCCTTTGTAAACCTCAACAGAAGCGTAACGCCCATATAAGCACACACACCCGTGCGTAAAGCTGTAATCTGGAAAAAAAATGTATTTTTAATTTTTTTCCTGAAAACATTTTTATCATTACAATGGGAAGACTGTTTAATTTCTCGCATTATATTGTGTCTTTCTGTTAGTATATCCTTTATCATTTTCAGTATTATTCCATAATGCTAGAGATAGGTAAAATAAACAACTAACTGTTTCATTTTCCTTTGTATTTATTTACTGAAAATGTCCTGCGGAAAACGCAGGAAACGATATTTCCGGGACCCTAAATTCAAAATCTCAAGCTACGCCTCAGCTCAACACGTGACAAGACAACAGGGTTGATGAATTATTTAACCGTAGATTTAACTTTTGATACAGTTATTCCCCCATGCAGACTAATTAAAAATTATTGGACCAGGTTGAGTAAAATATTGTGATTTATCAGGGCGAGCAGATCAATTACTTGCCTTCGCCTTTGGCAAATAATTGATCTGGATTACAGTGTGCATGAGCAGACCATTATTTGTACAACGAATGATAATAAGTATTAGTATATACACACTCAGTGACCTTGGTGATTTAAGCAATCTGATTGGTTCGCTATCTCGGACTATTCAACAATATTCACCTCCTAGCGAGTGGATAATGTGTGAGCTCAGTGTTTTTCCCATTTTTTAGAGAACGATCTTTTAAAAGTCGACAGAATCCTAGGGCTGACTTTTTTTAAGGCAAAAAAAGACTTGGAAGGATTCAATACGGCGTTTTTCAATTTACTGTAGCAGGAGCTTTGTGCTTGATGGATTGTTTACAACTCCCGTGTATTCGCGTAGAAGAAGCCGTTGCGTGAACTCAGCGTTTTCTAAGAAGAAAATTTTGGCTCAAAATCGAAGTTTATTTATGACAAACAAATTTAAAAGGAAATGTTTGCAGAAATTCTACGTTTCAAGTAAACGGGAAAAAGAATGATACAGAAAGACGACGTCTTACCTCGAGCAACTGAGCCGCCATTTTTGTCAGCACTTCATGCGAAGAACGACACAACAAACCCTTTTGGCTATAAACTTCGTCTTGGCGAGTCAACAGAAAACAACACAGCTCTACTTTTCTTCTCAGGTAAGGAAACAGTTCAAACTTTTAGCGGTTCCATTTAAGCCATTACGCTGTTGTTTGCGAAATGATAAACTTGTGAATTGCCATGTTTGAAATTTCTGCAAAGATCTATTTTTAAACTTACGCGTGATTTGATGTGTCAATCAAATCGTACTTTTGAATGGTTTCCTCTCTGATTTTGTTGAGATCACTTCGTGTGTATATACTAAAACAATTATTCTTTTCAATCTCGGTGAATAGTGGCTTTGGGAATATTTACCTCGCCGCTTTCGCGTCTCGGTAAATATTTTGCCACTATTCACCTCGATTTCAAAGAATAATTGTTAATTATTCATTAAAATTTTGATTCAAATATCTCCTGATTGTTTCATTTCACAATTACGATAAGATATTGGCGCCTACAGATCTCCAGTCAATATTGCTTTGGTTCATTTAGTACCCGAAAAAGACGTTAAGGAACGAGGAAATCTCCAACTCACGTCAAAAAAGTAGGATAACCTATCAAACTTATGTTAGACTCTATAATACAACGGACCGCTAGACATCTATGCAGCTTCGCACTAGGGACTTTAAGATCCAACGACGCGGACGGCGATGAGAACGTCACAAAAACAATACGTTTAATAAGCAAAACAACACCTTTGCACGTGCATCACACTTCTTTGTACCTTTCTTTCCCGTTTTTGCACGATTACGACGTGAAAATGCCTAAATTCACCTTTTATGGAGGACGTAAACAAGCAACGATGAAATTTTATTTCTCTTTCTGAGCTTGAATATGGTCATTTGAAATTCACCTTCAGGAGGGTTCGCCTACATTTGACAAAGTAAGTGAGTAGGAATAATCGCTATAAAGACTGTAAGAACTCAAATTCACTTTTTAAGCGACGTTCTCGTTGCTGTCGCGTCGTTGGATCTAAAAGTCCCTACTATTACAGAAATCGCGCCGAAATCACTGTTCGTAAGCGGGAACAGAAGCCCTCTCCGGTATGGTTTTCGTGTGGGCGCCAAAGCCTTCCGGTAAAGTATGAACACAGCTTAAAACTAAAATATAGAGAGCCTTTAATAGATTCCAAGACAAGTACGACAACGAGTACGAGATTTCCTCAATACTTAGTAGTGAGTGCACGCGCGTAAACCAGCCTCATTTTGGCGGGAAAACGTGGTAGCCGTCTTCACTCTACCACGAGTTTTAGCGAGAATGTCGAAGTGGCGGAAAAAAGTTATCAAATGTTAGAAGTTTTATAATTTTACGATCGAGAGAGGGTATAACCTCCTTCACTAAAGGTAACAGTGCTAACTTTTCTAGTCAAAAATGGTAAAATGAAGCTTTCCGGGAAGTCTATATTTTGAGAATGTGCGAAAAACTCTAAGCCAAATCTCGTACTCCTAGTCGTCATCATCCTTGAATCTAAAGGTCTCTATCAAAGAACGCGGGAACCTCCAACTCACGTCAAAAAGTGCGTTCTTTTTGTCAGGATCAACGTTAGGACGGAAGTCAGCGTAGAAGCCAGTGTTGGGAGCCCCTTTAATGCTCAAATTGGATAAGTTCAGTATGCGTGGAGGCTCATTCTGCATTGGTTCCTGAAGAGTCTTTATAAGCAGTAATGCCAAGCAAACCATCAACAAAGGTAGTATCAGCTGGGTTAAAACCAGTTTCTTCTCTCGCCTAGCATTCAGAAAACGTTTTAACAGCATTGCTTTGTATTGCTGCCATTTCAGGCTTAATCCTGTGTTGAATTCTGTCAAGAAAATTACACATATCAAGTTCAATTCTCGATTGAAAAGTGTCCTTTAGTCGTTGTTTCCTGATTAATTAACAATAGGCCCTTTCAGTACAGCTAGTTATTCACGTGGTACAAAACCGCAGGACCCACTGGGACAGAAAACTCAAACAGCCCACATCATTAACAGTAAGAAGCCCAAAAGTGTAACAGCTTTTGATTTATTCACATTCTTTCGTACAGATTTAATCCAATCAGAAGCCACCTGGAAACTGTCCTCGACTTCTGATTGGTTAATGTCTGCATGAAAGAATGTGAGTGAATAAAGGAGGTCACACTTTTGGGCTCCTTGCTGTAAAACGGTTTCCTTTTTTTTTCACTTTGTTTTCTCCCAGTGCGTGTCTTGCTCTCCAGCATGGCGGGTTTTGTAGCACGTGAATGACTAGCCGCAAGGACCTACGCGTTCGAATTTCTATGACTTAATAGTCAGCGAGGCTCGTAGCGCTGAGTTGCGCCCTTTGACACGAGGAGTATTCTAACGGATTCAGTTTAGTATATACCAAGGTTTGATGAAAATACATGAAAACAAGCCTTTGAACTGCATTCCCGAAAGGGTCGTTTGTTTGTAGGCATAGGCAAAGGACAACGCAATCGTCTGGAAGATGGCAACTGTTATATTTTGAGACCATTAATCGGACCAAGAAGTCAGTTTCATATGATGAGCTGCTCACCACGGCTAGCATGAAATCCTTATATTGTAGGGGCTTACATCAGGCGTTAATACTTTTTTTCAAATGCTTAAGTGGTACGGGACCCACTTATATTAGAAACCTTTTTAAATAATGGCATGCACCGTATGGGCTATGAGGCGGGGGCTCGAATTTGGAATTACCTAATTTTAATCCAGCTAAATTTAAAAGGAAAAGTTTTGACTTATTTATCAATTAAGTTATGGAACAGTTCGCCCTCTCAAGTATGCAAATGACTTCAAAAGTAAATTGCAAGATTGTAGCTTTTTAGAACGTGTCTTGTAGTTTTCCTTTCACGTTTTTGTATATAGTTTTTAGTAGGTTTTAGCTTTTTATATTTTATGTCTTTATTGCTAAGTTTTTATATATTTATTGAGTTGTTTTTAAAATAGAATGATATTATTTTATAGCTGTAATTATTATAGATTCATTTATACACGTTCGTATTTTGAACAAGTTTTTTAGCTCCTCGATGTAACGTGTTAAAATAAATCACTGACTGATTGATTGATTGATTGTCATAAATAAACAACTAAATTTGTATTTCTTTCCATTTAAAATGTTAATTCCGTCTTTTATGGAGGCGCATCATTTTTAAGTTTAACCACTTTTTCGTCAGAAAATTCTAAAAACAATTTGCCAAAGAAGTTGCCATTGTCTTATTTTTGTTCAAAGCGTCGGCTCCCTTCTCACTTTCTTTCACGAAATGGGCCATTTGCACGATGACATCATTTACTAGTACGACCAGAATCCATCAGGGTTTCCCTTTCTTGTGCAAATTACGGCTTTTGTCATTTAAATCTCGCTGCGATTACCAAATTCAAACATGTATAGAAAAACGAAAAGGATTCTGGTCGTAGTAGTAAAATGATGCCATCATGCAAATGGCCTGTAGATAGAACTGGATGGGGAGTACGTTGGCCAATCAGAGTGCAGAATTCATGATAGTATGCTAGTTGGTTTCTACTGATTCGAGTTATCAACAAACAGCAAGAACCTTGCAAGAGTACGACAATTTCAGAACGCAAAAATGAAATTCGAAGAATCAACGTCAGCCATAGTCATGCGTTTCGACTGAAATCTTGCAAAAAGACTTCAAGTGAGTTGGAAAACTTGTCCAGTGCAAGTGTAGCTTCAACTTCCGATTACTACAGACGGAAATTATACAAACTTACCTCCGACTGAGCTTGCTTCAGCCTCAGGTATAGGAATTTGGCTTGCTCCACCAGATACTTGTTCAGCACGATGTTTTTGATCGACAACTCTAAAAAAGGAGACATAGAATACTATAAGGTGTCGTTGTGCGAACTCGTATTTTGGGTGATCAGAGCAAAGCTACAGAGTGGTTTTGTATAAATTGGTTATATTACTGTGAAGAACTACCACGAAAATGTTGACAAGGGCTTCAAGGGTAACTTACGATTTACTGTTGTGCGAAAACAACACGTATAGAGCATTTTAACTCATGTGAACAGCAGCTGTTTTAGTTTATTTTTGTTTTTAGCTAAGATATGGAGTGGAACTCCTACAGGATAACACAAATACCGCCGCCATTGCTTTGCCATCGATACAGCAATACAACAGACATGAGAAAACGATTTACGATTTTTTACAAATTCTAAGCTTTTCTAAGATATAGAATACTTACTGGTCATGTAGTGTTATCTCAGCACCTTCCCCGACTTTCATGAACACTTCCTCTAATGTTGTCACCGAGACGCCGAAACTTGTTACTCCATATTGTTCTAGGTTGCCTGGAGACAAAGTATGCCTATTAGTTCATGCGAATACATCACTGGGCGTCATACCGACCGATTATAAGTCGTACATATACCCGAATACTGATCCGAAGCTTTAGAATAACATATGATTGAACCATCCACAGTCTGAGAAAACAGCCGGCATATGGCTGGTTTCCCCGAGAAATGACGTCTGACAAACGAGCGTAGAAATTCCATAGTGACGACGCGTCGCTACCTAGATCTGGGTAGTGCTTCTGATTGGTTGAAGCAAATTTCCCACGCGGCACGACCAATCAAAAGCACTATCCGGAGTGACGCGTCATCATTATGGAATTTCTGCACGCTTTTCTTGGTCGTCATGTCGCGTAGAAACCAGTGAAGGCGTTGCAAAATGTCGCCTGTTTTCTAAGGCTTGAACATTGAGAAATTGAAAAACCTTACGAGAACGTAGCCATTGAGGAAGCAGGGAAGTATTTCAAACATACAGACAGCTAAAAGAGCGCGTTTTAAATTTTGAAATGGAAAATATAACATCTCTGACTAGGTGAAAAATTACTCACTTTCTAACTCCGAGAAAAGCGCCTCAAAATTCTGTGAGCTTTCACTACTCAGAACAAACTGGATTTCTGTACCGACCGCACTGATAATTTCTGCTTTTGGCACGTGGCTTTTCACCAGGTTTGAGATGGCATCTTCATCGCAGCTTTCTCTTTTGACCAAAGTTAAGTGATACCCCACGCCATATCTAGAAAGAGCAACCGAAAAAACACCATTAAAAGCTAGTTATGGCATAAATGCATTCAATAAAATAAACATACAATACTGATGGTAATTGTTGCCTTCACACTAGAGCTTTAAGTATAATATAAGTGAACTTGGAGCCTACTTTGAGTGCGAAGGGGTAAAATGTAGCTACTTCAACTTTACTTGCAGGGTGACCATGGAAACGTTCGTAGTTCAAAGATGCCGAACTATGGTCTGCACCACACTTGAGAACACACTTGACCAATAAAGGTGATGTTATATGAGACAATTCGAAACGACGAGTTTTAACGCAGCACAGCGTTGCAATGTTGGAACAATGTTGGAACTATTCGAAACAATGTCGCAACAATGTTGCAAAGCTTTGTTGCGCTAAAAATCGTCGTTGCGAATCGTTCCATGTAACATCATCTTAAGATATGGAAGCCATGTGCACGATGTGCACGTGTAGCGGTTCCAACATTCTCATGATCGGAGAGATTGACAGCTTTAACTTCAAGTGATAGACTTCGTCAACAAGTGTGAAGCCATGTTTTCTACAGAGCGACTTAAGATTTCCAAGTACACTTGAATCAAGTGCTTACTTGTAACTAACTTCGTTTCTAGTGTGATGCAAAGAAATATTTTGCTGTTACATAACAAGTAATTAAAAACGATGCAGCTAACCGGCTTTTGAGAAACAAAGAACTTCCACAACAACGTAACTGCCCATCAGCCATAATAGCGATTCGATCTCCAAGCAAGTCTGCTTCATCCCTGCAAAAAAAAAAATCGGTATATTATATCGTCATTGATCTTTTGGCCCATCGGCATTGTTCAGAAAACATACTTAAGTTCTCAAAAATGAGACCGTCCTGTGGTTTATTCATGTCCGATTTTTTTGTATGAATTCAAAAACTGCTTCGCTTCCAGCTTCAAAAACTCATTAATAATTCATAAAGAAAAAACAAAACACAAAATAAATTCCTGTTTAATAAGTGTACCTAACAAAGACACGGATAAACGTTACGTCCAATTTTTTGGAGGCAAATAACTTTAAATCTAAATATTAATGCAAGAATTAGTTCATCTATATCAGAGCTTTTGAAGCCGTTCAAAAAAATCGGAATCGTGTTTTATCAATAGGAGACGAAGCCTCGAATTTTTAAACCGGATAATAAACTCCTGCTCGTTTTATAAATTACAGCCAAAATCACTCACAGCGGGGGAATTTTCTTCTTTTTTTATGATATTAGCAATAAGCACCTTAAGACCGGAATTTCAAGATCTGAACTAAATAATTTTCTTAAGATTTTTTTCTAATCTTGTATCGATGACTGTGCTTTTTGACAACGCATCTTACGTCCACCGATGTGTATCAAGCCCCTGGGCAACACTTACATAAAGTGAGTGGTCAAAATGATGGTTCGTCCTGCTTTGTGTTTCAGTAGCAAATCCCAGGTGCCTCGCCTGGCGTAGGGGTCCATTCCCGAGGTGGGCTCATCCAAGAAAACAATTTCAGATCCTCCAATAAGGGCAATAGCGCAACTGTGAATATTAACATCGGATCAATGTAGGTTTCTGGGAAATTGCGCACCTACTCCTCCCATAAGCTAACATTAATACTTACTTCTCACTTAGAGCAAAATGGTCGCTTATGGGAGGGGTAGATGGGCAGTTTCCCAAAAACCTTCAGTGCAATCTATGGGGAACTCGCGGATACATTGCTAAGAAAATAAGGAAATCATGACGGATGTAAGAAAAGAATACGAAAATATTTAGCTTTCATATGAGGCAGTGGCAAGGTTTTAACCCTTTAAACCCTAGGATCAAAATTTGAATTCTCATTTGTTCCCCCTGTTCATTTCCCACAGAAGCATTGGGGAGAAATTGACAAAATATCAAGCAAATTCATCTTGTGTCATCACGTCTGTAATTTTCATGACCACTCTGTTTTACAAAGCATTGATATTACAAGGAGAAATTCAGTGCTGATCACTCTAACATACTTGTCTAAACCAAGCGCTTTTAGCAACAAGCAGGAGCCCATAACTGGGAGCGAGTGACTCCCATACTAGGCCTATGTCACGGAATTTTTAGGAACCAGTATATTTTTAGACACATTTTAGGGCACTTTTTCCCGCGAAAATAGAATCTCCACCATGTCTATGAGCGCATTTGAAGTATAAGATATTAAAAAGGAAAACTAAACATTCTTAAAAGGCAAAAAATATCATTTTTAGGTCTGTAGGTTTTGCTGACTGGTTTGTGGAATTTAAACGATATTCAAAATTCGCATAAAACCCGTTCTAAAAACAAACTGGTCCGTGAAAACGCCGTGACACGAGCACATGGAAGTTGCTCGCTCCTGATTATGGGCTCCTGCAACAAGTTCATTCATATATAATCCAATCTTGTTTAAAGGTTGTAAATCCCCCCACCCCTGAATCAATGTTGTTTGCAGTTGAAGAAAGCCGGGTCTAAAAGACAAGTTTGATTCTTTGTTGGACAGTTGTTGTTGTTGTTGTTTTTTTTTTGGGGGGGGGCACAGTGGGAGAGGATAGATAAGTCCACTGTGCAAAAAGGGGCCGTTTTATGAAAGTGTCTCAACTCTTTTGTCATTCATTGTACTTTACAGGCACTGCGTGTACGCGTAGCCTAGGTTTTGAACTCGGGACAACCGAGAACAAATCTCGCAAGTGACCAGAGCGGGTCTCGAACCTGTGAGTCTGACGCGCTGGCCAGTCTGCCACTCTGCCTCCTAAATACAGCTATTTCGAGAAAGGTTGTCGCAAGAGAAATGTGCACGCGACAATCCCGAAAGGTAATATGGGATATGATCAATACACTGTTCCTGACACTGTAGCTGTCGAACCTACTTTTGTTGCTTTCTTTTAGCAATCGCAAACATAAGTCCATGGCCTCTCGTGTCATTCTTTCAAACTCCTTTGCAAAACAGTGAATTCAAAACCACCCACAATACCTTTCGGGATTGTCGCGTGCACTTTTTCCGACAACCTTTCTCGAAATAGCTGTAAACGTGAAAACTGTTTTGTTCAGCTGGAATTACTATAAGCAACATTTTATGAGTTTGTTATGATACCTTAACTTTCTTTTCATTCCTCCAGACAGTTTGGATGATACAGTATTGCTCTTATCCACCAGCTGAATGTCACCGATCATTTCGTTCACTTCATTGAGAGCTTCTACACCAAACTTGCCCTACAAATGAGCCAATTGTTACTCAGAAGGGATGAACTCTAACAAAATAACTTCAGTAATACGGCAAACACGAGAAAAAGTGTTTTATCACTTACCAAACACCGAAAATATGGGGCCCACAATGGCGGTATGTTTAACGTGATATAAGCAAAACTCAAAACTCACTTTTTTGGGGCACAACATTGCAGGGGGAAATAGGAGATGAAGGGATGAACCCAAAGCCGATCCAAAGATTTTTATTAGGAGTAGTGTTCTATGAAACATTACTGTACCAAGCTTTTTTGACCCCTAACTTTGAGGTGTTTGAATTGTGACGAGACACTGTTTCGAGGGGTTCATGAAAGTTCGCAAATGACTTTTTAAGGCCTCAAAATCTGCTGAATTTTCCCCAACTTCGCGAATTCGGCGAGACTCTTTATCGCTTCCCTTTGCTTAAAACGTATGCCCGAAAAAAAAACTTCAGTGAAAGCTGCTTTAACTCATACCTTTAAGCTGATAAAGAAATCCAGATGCTCCTTGACTGTTAGCCTGTCAAACAGTACATTATGCTGGGGACACAAACCAAGGCTTTCTCGAATAGCATCCATGTCTGAAATGATACTCAAACCATTAACGTCAGCAGAGCCGTCTGTAGGCGGAAACAGTCCCGTCAACATCGATATGGTCGTGGTTTTTCCTGCGCCGTTGTGTCCTAGAAGAGCTGTTATTTGACCTTTGAAAATATTCAGCGACAGATCATCTACGGCCACCTTCGAGCCTGAAGATCCCTTTGCAATAAAAATGTCGTAAAATGTTAGGTTTAAAAGCGGAAGATGTGAAAGAACAATCGAATTATTTTTCTCTTAAAGTGTGTTACAAATGTAGACTAGAAGTTCGTTATTATACATATACATAACTAGCCTACGAGCAGTCCCTAATTTTCTCTTGGGGCTCTTTCCAAATGTCAGAACTGGCTGGCCGGACCATGGCCAGACGAGACATTTTGGCAATGAAATAGGCTTTCTCGAAGAGGTTTTGCTGAAAAACCATCTCCTTTGTGCATGATATTTACGATGTGACTGATGTGGATGGTTAGTTGAGATTAAAAGTGAAATTCTCATTACGATGGGGAAGGGCTGGCCGGTCAGTTCTGACAAATGGAAGGCGCCCTTAGTCTGTCGAGCGAAACGCGCGAGATAGTAAAATGACCACGCGCGTGATTGCGACACTCGCGCGCGGTACATTCCCCTCACTAATTTTGAAGAAAAAGAGAGACTGCTAGCAGTCTAGTACATAACAAGTCTTGAGCCACAACAAACACATCTTCACCGTTGTTCCTTTAAAAATGGGGGAAGGGTGAAAATATCGCTCCATGCAAGAGAATCCAAGACATTCCACGTCGTGGATTCCAGATTTTTTGTCAGTGGGACTTGGGATTCCGGATTCCTTGAGCTGTATTTCGGATTCCAAAGCCCAGGAACCCCTTATTCCACGGGCAAAAATTTCCGCGATTCCAGAATCCGGATTCCCTAACATGGGGCAATTAGTGTAAGAACAACATGCATGTACCTTGAAAACTTTCCGAAGCCTTTTAATGGCAACACCAACTGGCAAGTCCGGTTCATCTTCAACATCTGCCTTTCCATCCGCATCGTCATCAGAAGATTCAGCACTATTATTCAAGATCACATTCATTTCCTGTTCAGCAAATTTAAGCAGATTTAAAAGTTAGAGATCTAAACTCGCTGTATTGTAGTCTACGACTAAACAGGTTAATGCCCCATAAGGTTAATTTTACGTTTCTGGGCAACTGCCCACCTACCCCTCCGTCCCCTAAGTCAACATTTTGCCCTACGTGAAAAGTAAGCGTTAATGTTGGTTTAGGGGAGGGGTAGTCACTCAAATATCCGAGCTACACTGGTCGAGCCAACTTTTCCTACATTTCCTGTAGTTAGAAAACTTGGCGAACCGTATACAGGTGAACATCAGAAACAAAAGTTAGCTCGGCTGGCAGGGTAACCCGCTTTCCCGGGTCACCCTTATTTGATAGCAGGGTAAACCTACTTTCCCGGGTCACCCTTATTTGATAGCAGGGTAACCGCTTTCCCGGGTCACCCTTATTTGGTAGCAGGGTAAACCTGCTTTCCCGGGTCACCCTTATTTGATAGCAGGGTAACCTGCTTTCCCGGGTCACCCTTATTTGATAGCAAGGTAACCCGCTTTCCCGGGTCACCCTTATTTGATAGCAGGGTAACCTGCTTTCCCGGGTCACCCTTATTTGATAGCAGGGTAACCCGCTTTCCCGGGTCACCCTTATTTGACGGGTCACCCTTATTTGACGGCAGTGTCACTCTCGCAGCTGGGCCAACTTTTCTCCACATAAAAATACTAACTCGCCAAGCCGGGTCAACTCGGTCAAGGTGCGAGCACCGTTGTCAGCTCTTGGATGGGATAAATGGGTCAACTTTTTTTCTCCAGTGACCGCTCGCTTTAGTTGACTCGGCTGGGATGGTGACCCTCGTTCCCGGGACAATTTCTCTCCATATAAATGGCGCGTAAGTTTTAGTTTGGATACGATTATCTGGGTGAGTGTAGTTTTTAATAGGGCTGTTGGTAGACTGAAAAACAGTCGGGTTTTTTCTCAAGATCGGTTTTGCAAGGTGAAAGGGCCGGCGTGATATTTTCGCGAAAGCGCGTGGGCCTCACACGTGTACAGCAAGAGACTGGAAAAACGTATCTCTCTTTCGCGTCTCTCCCCAGTCTCACTCTCCGCTTTTATCCTCACTTCCGGCCTTTCCTTTGACAGATCACGCGCGCGCACTTAACCTAGACTACAAAACAGTCTGTATTTTCGCCTAGGCTGTTGATGGTGCCAATTGACGTTTTCCACAGACATTGTAGAAGACATCAACAGCCACTTGACCTGTTTCATAACCGCGCCTGGCAGAGTGACAGAAAGTATGATCATGAAATTCATTTTTTATTCGAACATGCCTCATCGTCGCAAGGGCACTTCAGCTAAAACAAACGAGGAAAAAACATTCTTAATACTAGCACAGAAATTTATTTCTTCAACATTCAAGTCCTATACTTTAAGCCACGGTCAATAGGCACAGTACTACTTGACGGATAAATTTGTTAAGGTACTCTCAGCATAATTATTTTCATAATCAATCCTTCCTACTTAGGAACTTTCTAATATAGAGAAGTGTGACGTCACGTTACCATGGTAGCATGGATTTGTTTCTGGATGACAACAAAACCAACGACGACGGCGACGCGACGGCAAGGCGGAACCGCAAAAAATAATACGTTCATATTATCAATCAACAACTTTGGACGTGCATCACGCCATTTTGTACATTTGCCATTGCACCACTACGACATGAAACTTCCTAATTTCAAAAGCCCGCTTTATGGAGTAGGTGAACACATACAAAAATTGTCGCTTTCCTTTTCTTAACTTAGATACGATAGATACGGTCCGAAAGAAAATTTCGCAAAGATTTGACAAATTAAATGAAATTGAATAAGATCAGTGAAGTTTAAAATAGTGCGAATAGACTTTTAGGTGACTTTTTCGGTTTGTTGTCATCCAAAATTTTTGCTACCATGGCAACGTGACGTAACGACTCCTCCTCTCTATCGTCATTGTCGGGATTTACCTTGGGGCTGTTAACACCACACCAATATGACGGCATACATGGGAAGTAGAATGGTTTGGGGATTCCATACTCTCCGGGAAATACCGCCTCAACATACCTAGTGAAGAAAAAGGTGATGTCAGTGAAAGTGAATTTCTTTCCCTTTTGTGTTCTAGCTATTTAGACCTACATTGACTACCGTAAACTGCCGCTTATAAACTCCTTACTCATAAGTCCCCCTCTCCATTTATGTATGGGCCTATCTAATTGTGAACAAATCTGATAAGAAGCCCCCATCGAGCCGGTATTGAAATGATCATGACGTTTGAATTTTTAATGAAGTTTAGAAGCTTAATTAAAAACCAATACAGTCAACTCTCGCCTTGCGGACACCTCGCTATAACGGACACCCCGATAAAACGGACAGCAGTTAAATCCCAGGAAAAACCAAATTACAGACGTTTGACTGAAATAAACTCCCGCTATTACGGACTCTCGCTAATGAGGACACTAACTTGAGGTCCCTACAGTGTCCGCTATAAAGGGAGTTGACTGTAAATGAAGAACGAATTTTAATCAGCACTATTATATCTTGTTTCGTTATTTCGGTTATAAGCCCTCTGGTCACCCCCCGCCCCCGGTTTGATCTCTATGTGGTTCGTTATATGTACTACAGTACTAAGCCTCCTCCCCCCGGATTTACAGTTCTCTGTTCGTGAGCCCCCCTGAAAAGCCTTACGAAGATGTATCAAACGGAGGCTTACGGTAATCATTCGTGTCTTACTTCACATTTACGGTCCACTCACCAGGTGATAGTGCCAAAAATTGCACACTCAGCTAACAGCATGCAAAACACCCAAACCATATTGAAATTTTCATCGGGTGAAGGGTACTCGGAAACCTGTTTCCAAGAGATTCCAACTCGGATGGTCTCAAACTGCGCGAAGAGTTTGGCTGCAAGACCCAAACAGGTGTTTGGCAACAGACAAGCGCCGGCCTTTTCTGATCTGTAAAGGAAATCCACATATACGTAGACTGAAGTTTACCAGTTGATATGTATGCACGCCCATCGGCAGAGTGGTCAATAGAAGGACTAGAGCGTTCTAATTTAGGTGATGAAAATATCAACGTAAGATCCGGCTTGGCAATTCATTACTAGGCTGATTAAGCAACAGAACGGGAACGTCATTTGACGCCGGGAAAGCGCGCGGAAAGGACTAAACTCGACTTCCGGTGCCCAATTTGCTGCTCTGCGATTGGCCAAACCAGTTGTTTGATTTGCGCGCGCCGTCGTCAACTGACGTTCTCGTTCTGTTGCTAAATCAGCCTACTAGTTAGTTTGTACCGCACGGCATGTGTGGCACTCCTTAGATAAAATTGCCCATGAAGAGTTCGTTTCAAAGTAAGCTAATACTACATACGCGCACGCAGAATTTGAATCAGAAACTATTGGGTGACAACGGAAGATGTAAAGCTGCTAAGAAGAAATTTGCGCACATGCCTGCAGGAAGTTAGCGGCGAGGGACGAGGAGGGAGAGACGTCTGAATTCGCAGGCTAAAGTATTATCATCACATAGTAGCGTCATACAGGGAGACTAGAGTTCTTTCTAGGAAGTAGTTTAAAGAGCGCAGGCTCAAAATGGCGGGACATTCGACATCGACAAGGGGTCACGATTTTACCAATGTTAAAAGAAAAATTTCCTTCGTCTTTCTTGTTGTATTTTGGTTGTTTCTATAAATTGGACTTGAAACTGATAAGCCGAAAAGCCGTCTATCACTCGTAACCTAAACACATGCGTTTTGACCTTCTATTACGCATCACTTACGCAAAACACCAGCGTTGTAGCAAGGACGTTTTGACCTTCGATCAGAAGCATGAAACTCACTTGCACTTCTTAACCTTTGGTTATTACTAGTTAAGTAAACATGTATTTGGTACCTGGTCATTGCTTTGTATTTACTGTCATTATACACTACAAAGTAGGGTACCAGTGTTGCGATCCAGATTAGCGCACCAAGAAGCATTCCAAGAACAGGACGCGAGAAAAACACACTGCAAAGATAGAAATCAAGTCTCAAATATCAAAACGGTTAACGCCATTCTCATTCACAGAGCCTTTATTGCTTTTACTCAGCGCTGCGATTCGAAAGAAAATAATCCCAGCTCTGAGAGAGTGGGTCCACGCTTGTCTGGCATAACTGTGCGCATGCGTGGCTTCGGATTTGCGGATGTAAAGAAAAAATTGTAATTTGCTTACCCACGAAACACTTAAGAGTTCTTAAAAACGCGATTAAACGTGTTCGTCCTTTCCAGATTGAATTGGAGTTTGAAGTGTTGGTTTTTGAGGACAGGGAAAAACCGGAGTCCCGGGAGAAAAACCTCCCGGAGCAAAGGAAAGAACCAACAAACATCATTTCTGAAATTTAGCCACGAGTTACAGAGTTGTTGTTTTGCTAGGCTGCAAGCAAGCTCTCCGGGGCGCTCTGGCGGCGGGGAGCAAGTCAATAAAGTCGTTTAGATAGCGGTGAAGGCCCATGTTGGGAAAAGCACAAAACAAGTTGGAATTTAAAAAAATGAAGGAACAATAATTCTTTACCTAACACAGAAGCAAAATAAGATGCTGGCAAAGATGTAAAGGAGAAACAGAACTAATAACACAGTCACGTCTGAATATTTAAACACCAGGACCTACAGAAAGAATAAAAACAAAACTAAAGTAAGGAAAACTTTCAAAAGTGCGTAAAATACTGACATGTGATTGTCGATCCTTCACAAGGCGAATTATCTGAACAATCTGCAGGTCACAGTGGCTACATTTGTTATGTCCCAATATCCACATACAAATTCTCTACACTGATCTCCATACATTTCCTTTAAGAAACATAGGCACGTTTAACATGCATGAGCTACTTTGAATGCTTTAGTGTAAACCTTACCAAGAGTGATGAATCTACGTTTATCATGATGATGATGATGATGATGATGAACTTTATTCATGTGTCGATGTATTTAGCTGACGCTAATTGGGGACACAACATAAAGATAAAATAAATAATGAATAATACGATAAATAAAAGATAAGAAATAAAAAAGCTATAAAAGAAGCTATAGTATAATCCTATATATATTATATATATACATTTACAATATGCTAAAATAATCAAAACAATTTTAGGAACACGGGCACAACTTAAGAGGTGCAAATTACGCACGCGGAGTAATTGTTGCCATTTATCAGTTCAGTAAGATCCTTACATCTAATATAAAACTTAAACCTAGATAGGCTGCTCGTTTCAGTGATGTTTTTATCTAGCTTGTTCCATAAAAAGGGTCCAAGATATCTAAGAGAGTGTTTACCATACAATACAGAATTAAATCTAGGAATATCAAAATTTTGGTTTCTAATATTATAATTACAAGACTTAGTACTGAAAATGTCACAAATGAAATCAGGAACTAGCCTATATTTAACCTTGTACATGAGTATATTTATGTTTTGTAATCTCCTATTAAGAAGGCTTGGTAGTTTAGCACGATCTAATAAGTTCATATACGTTTCTGAATGTGAGTTATAAACTATCCTTAGTGCCCTCTCTTGAATTCTTTCAACCTTTCTTGTATCCGACGCCTTACAGAAATGCCATGTGAGATGACAATAGGTGAGATATGGCATGATAGCAGTTTTATAAAGTAATAGTTTAGCCTCCGTAGTAATTAAGTTTCTTAACCTGGCGAGAACGCCCACCCTTTGACTGGCCTTTTTTGCATAATTCGCTAATATGTTGGCTATAAATTAAATTCTCGTCGAAGTTCACACCCAGTAGCTTGATATTATCTGTTGTCTTGATCGCTTGATCACCGATGTTGATGTTAATCTGTTCATGCTAAATGTAGACTGGGTTTTTGGGCAAAAATTGGGCATTGCGGTAAATGAATGAAAACGCGAAACGCTCAGCTGAGTCGATCCTCATGCTATATATTCACTTTCCCGCTCTGTCTTTCCCTGAGTGATACATCTGGTGCAAGTTAAACAAATTGTTAAAGTACAATAAATATCAACTCACCAAACGTAGATCAGAAGGAAAACTCTAAGGTTTCCTTGGAGTTTCTTAAGAAAATGTGGTTCATCGAATACCGAATAGTTACGAAATACCAGGATTTTTATCATTATGGTAGATGGTTGCATAATCATTCACGAGGTTTTCACGTGCGATTCTACTCAGTGAAAAAGTCTTTAACTCTGACAACTTAATTCTTCACGTTTTAAAAGCTATTGCTTCTTAAAAGACAAGAGCCTTTTTTAAGGCATTGGTTACAAAACGAAACTGGTCTTCATACGTTCAAGTTACTATTACCGTGAAAAGCCAACATGAGATGTGCAGTCACACTTCTGGTACGGGAAAGTGTTGGACTTTGCCCCCTTTCGTGGTTCGTACGTGAGGGAATTGGACTTATGACACAGTAATATAGTAAACAGGATTATAAAAATAACTCATACACACAATTTGCACGTGAAGATGTTGGACTTTGCCCATTTTAAAATTTGTCAGTGAAAGAACGCATATTGTTTACGAGATTTATACTTTGCTCAAACGATTTTAATAAAGTTACAAACAACTGTACTGAGAGATGCAATCTCCCCCATTAATCTAACTTACCTTGAGTGCAATGACAAATATAACAACAGAGATGAGAAGAAACAGCAAGTTTTTTGTGAACCATGCACTCCAGTGAACCCAGTTTGGCAGTCCCATCATCTTCATTGATTCCTTTAAGCGGCTCTGTTTCTCAAGAACCAGCTCCTAGCAAAATTATTCCACATAATAGTACATGTAAGTCATACATATAACAGAAAGTTTAGTCAAAACCTGTAACCAACCTCCAATTTTAAATACAACCACATAGCTAGGCTAGTACTAATAATGTACTGCAAACATTTTTCAAATGAACTAAACAGCACAGCTTTATACTAGTTTTAAATAGCAAAAAAATCGTTAAAAAGTTCTTTTTTTTGGGCAAACCCAACTACACTTGTAAGGAAAACGTTCATCACCTGTTTCCACAGAATACAAGCCAAAACTATGCTATACTAGAAAGAGAAATCTCCACAATACTATACGTGCCAACTCTCACGCCTTGAGCGTGAGTCTCACGCCTGCGGGTTGAAAACTTCGATCTCACGCCGGCTCACGCTTGCGGGCCAATTTCTCACGCCTGATTGAAAAATGTGAGTTGTTGCCGTCTTGCTTGACACAATTTTCAAAAATATGTTAACTCAGACCCATGTAAGGAACGAAAACCATGTGTAAAATGAATAAATGACAATACCTTCCTCGCGATCTCGCCTTTGACAGACTTCGGACGTCTTCGGAAGACTTCGGACGTCTTCGGAAGACCTTCGGACTTCTTCGGGAATCTTCGGAAATGATCGTGTCGTCTTAAAAAATCCCAGCACTCATACGATAAAAATCTCACGCTTATATCTCAGGAAAAGTTGGCAGGTATACAATACACTAATATCAAATACATGTAATAGATCTAGATTAGGAGATTTTTGAATATTAAGAAGCCCGAAAATTTTTCATGAGACGTTGTAACTTAATTTGTTTTGTTTCATACTAAGAAATACACCTTGCCCAAGCAAACATTGTTATTCTGAGAACTAAGGGAATTAAAGATGTTTCTGCACAAAACAATTATGACAAGAAAACGATTCCATTGTAATTGTACTACCTTGATAATTGTCATAGCTGAGTACATCAGGCCCAACATAACCAGCAGAGGCATAAACAGGGATACCATATTCATCCCAAAATTTGTTGTATAGTTTGGGTAAGGAAAAATCTATCCAGCAGGAAAAACACAAAGTTATGGTTTGTGCAACAAGATTATATAATATAAGAACAAGCTAACCAAGAACAAGCCAAATTTATAGCAACTCCAGAAATTGACAATAATGATTATGGCAATGATGAAAATGATGATGATGAAATTGATGATGGTGATGTTGATGGAAATGGAAATGGCGATGACGATGATGATGAAGGTGAGGATGATAAGATGGCTGCGATGATAATGATGATGATGTCACTGACTTTGATGATATTGATGGCTATGATGAAGATGGCAATGATGATGACGATGATGAAGACGATGGTAGTGATAATAAAGATGACGATGACAAAGGCAAACTTCCTAAAACCCCAATCCTCAAGACCATGAGGTTTTTGTTACCGTAAATTAACAAGTTACGCGGTGAAATTAATAGTGAAGGCCTACATGTAACCATTCATGTCTGCATAATTTATATACTCGCCTTCATTTTCACAGGAATGCCATGTGACAAGGCAGCTTGCATTTGCATGATAGCAGTATCAATTGCATACTGAAGTGGCAAAAACTTGTAATCATATTGGCTCCTGAGGAAAAAAAAGAACAGGATAAAGTGGTACAGTAGTTAGTCCCTTGCTCTCAAAGCTCAAATGTCAGCTGAAACGTCAGTAGATAATAATTTTATTCCATTTTGTAATATGCTGAAAACCAAAGGGTAGCATCTCATTTTGCATACTAGAAGTTCAACATTTGAACCTCGCCTAAAACATAAAAAAAGTGGGTTTATTTCTTCAGTCATAGAGACACTAAACAAAATCAAAGCTTTGTGTCAACCAACAAAAATGAACTTTGAAAACTACTTGGCTAGCAAGTTCAAAATCCACAACTGCAATCCATTTTAATTGGCTCCAAGTTTTTCCATCAATGCCCACTTTTGTTCTACATGTGGTCTAAGAAACGAGTTGACATTTCGCTATAATACCACCACTCGGTCGATCTCCCCACAAAATGTCTGAGGAACAAGCCCAGAAATATCATAATAATAACGTATCACTACCCGGATCTGAGTAACAGTTCTTCTGATTGGGTTGTGCCACAAGGGAAATTTACTTTGACTGATCTTCAACAGAATATTATGGGTATAGTGATAGGTCATTAGTATGGACATTTCTGCACTCATTCCTCAGACATCATTTCATGACTGGAGGTCATAAAACTGCTTGGCTTAACCTTCAAATAGCCGCAGTTTTTGAAAAGATCTTCAAGGGTGAATGGGTGAATTCATCATATAAGCAGCACTGTTTTAAGCACAATCGTGTCATAATGTGTGATACAGTGACAAAATTTAACGATGAATGTATGATGTCCAAATTCAGCATGTTTTTCAAATAACTACATTTACATCAATACATTGAGAGCTTATCATTATTTACCATGTATCAGGGCTATCGGGAATGTACTGTGGATAAGTCGAGTCTGTGTTCCATGGTGAATATACCTCAGACCTCAAGCGAATGGCATACTTGACTTGCTTTGGAAGACTGTCCTCATCATCAATTAAAAACTCAATGGCTGAAATAAAAAAGGATGATATTTGTCTAATACCCTTGGTACACAATTTTGAGGTTGGTAATGTAAAATACAGTGAAACCTCTATTAAGAGGACACCTTTAGGACCTTCCTAAGTGTCTGCTTAATAGAGGGTGTCTGCTTAAGGTTTGCAAAAATTGAGCAATGTTTTTTAACGATTAACTTTCAACGGTAATACTCTGTACTGTGATAAAGTTCCACGTTGTTAAGGAAGCTAAGGAAGCGGTGCTGTACTTCGTGCAAAGACTTTCCGTCTAATCTACAGTTTACTGACAGCTAAATGTATTGATTTATCTTTATTAATTGACAACAGTACGTATTTCAAGGATGTAATCCACTACTACTATTGTCAAGACAATTCAGTCTGGTGTCCACTTAATAGAGGTTATTAACAATAGAAATTAGCCAAATACAATTTACTTTAGTGCCTGCATCTGCTTAATAGAGCTGTCCGCTGAATAGGGGTTCATAAGAAGGAAAATATATAAGACATTAATTTCGGGACCATTGGCTTAGTGTCCACTTAATAGAGGGTGTCCGCTTAATTGGGGGTCCACTTAATAGAGGTTTCACTGTACAGCTGACTGAGATTTTCCTCAGTGAATACAAAGGACAATCACAATTGCCAGAATTATAAGCTCTGTAACTTGGAGCACTGTCATTCCAACCAACACTGCATTTTTCTTTTTCTTTTCTATTTTGTTTTGTTTTTCATTGTCTGTTTGCTTTTCTTCTTGCTTTGTTTTTGTAAAATTGTTTGTTGTTATTTTTTGTTTTCTTGGGTTATAAGGCATTTTGCATTTGCTTACCCCCAAAATAGTAGTTTTGATCTTTCTCAGATACTTCAGCAGCCATACTAGCCCCAGATGACCATGGCTTGCCAGTAGTGTTACTGGTACTAACAGCTTCCAAACCTGTAATGTTTTCAACTCTTGCCATCAACTTCGACACTAAAAAGAATTAAAGTAAGTATGAATGACATATATTGTATCAAAATATTATGTGCAAAACTATTTAAAAACAATAAGTGAGTTGATTTCTTAATCCTTAACTCACTTTTGTATACAATTCACCACTTTCACATTGACCAAAAAAAGCCTTGTTTATCCCCCCAAAATTTGCATAAGCATTAATTTTCAATCATCATGTCGTCATTATCACCATAATCTAAAGTGGCATTCTGCAGTGTGTTCTAGTTACAACCACTTTTTCGAATTTCAGAGGTGGTCACTTACAAGAGCTTCAACTGCGTTATTATCGTTATCATTATCATCATCATCATCATCATCATCATCATCTAACTTGGAATCTAAAACTGATACCTATTTCAGTTTGTGGGAAGAAAGCCAATTTTCCACCATCGTACTTCATGTTGCTCACATCAATCTCTGTTGATTGATATACAGCTAAAAGAAAGCAAAACACACTGTTGTGGCATTAAGTTTCACATATATACTGTTCACTTTATAGCAAATACTGATTTGTCTAAAATAAACCATCAGTTTTGAGGGAAGGGGGTGTGGGTACACAGGGGAAGGGGATAGGTATGTCCACATGCAAAATTAAGGGGCCAATTTACAGAAGTGTCTCAACACTTTAGTACCTCATTACAGCTTCAAAATATTACTGAATTTTTCAGTTTTGTTAAGGAATGACACTTACAAAAACATTCGTCTCGTGCTGATGGTGATGTCCTAATAGAGGGAAAAAAAATGTTTTAGTGGTATTTTTTTATTAAAAAAAAAGGAGGTGCAATTGCCTGTCATAAAACTTCCCAACTTGTGCCTGATCCACAGCAAAGTTCTTGCAGTTCCTGTTCTCACAGCAGAAAAATAAGAGTAATCTACAATTTTTTACCACAATTTGTAAATGTACAAAATGTACACTTGCTGGCAAAATATACAGTTAAATGCATGTGAATATACTTACAATGGAATTAGAATAAGAATGCCCATCACAACAATCGGAATGAGGATTTCAAAAACAGTCCCAATAGGTCTTCGTTTCTGTTGACATAACCAGGAATAAACAAATACATATTACTCAAGCCACAGCTTGCTGGTTAATTTATTCATGATTTTCTCAAAACCTTTTCTCCTGAATATATATCCATGGACTATTAGAAAATTATTCACATTGGTCACATTTGAATCATGAAGTGTTGAGAAATCAACAGTGCATTACAAGCCACTAGGAATTAGAAGCCCAGAGTTCACAACCTCCATTTTGTGGCATGAAGCATCAAAAAAACCTACAGTAGAAGCACTGCTTCTCCTCCTTCCTGATTGGGATGCTAGGCACAAGACCTAAGCCACTGAAGGGTTACCCTCAGTGGGTGAGAGAGGGAGCAGGGAACAGGGGAGAACGAGAAGGTCCACCAAAACTCCCACCTCTGGTACACTGGATTGGCAGTTCCCATCCCTTACTTCTTGGGTTCCTTCCATTAGCCCCTTTCAAAAAAAATATAAAGCATTTTTGCATAATATTTTCTCCCTATTTCTCCCACTTCCCACCCTTTTAGAATTCCCACCTCCCCCATACTCTCTGACCTCCTGTACTCCTCCTTCTTCCTATTCTCCCAGGCTCCTAACCCCTCTGTCCTTCTCAATTAGGGGGACAAACAGGAGCAAAATTAATTTTCTTAAGAAACAACCCAATGGTAATATTTGAACCCACAACTGCAAACCCCTCAGTGTGGTCATCCGTTGCAGCCCTTGGCTCTATGAAGACATTTATTGCAAAATCTTTGCTTTAAGTGGGTCATTACAAGCAAGCATCCACACTGGTTTCCACTGTTTTAACAAAAACAGTCAGATTTTTCGTAAAATTTATTTTGTTTTTTTTGATGAGGAAAAAAAACTTTCTAAGTTAAAATCTGGCCAATATCCTGCCAGAATGACTCCAAAAGCCAGAAAAGGTGACTTAAGGGAAGTCAAACGCAAAAAAATTCCCAGGGGCGCATGCCCCCACACCCCGCTAGAAACTTGCGCCTTTTGCATGCACACGTTTAGGAAATTGGTCAATATTTAACCTAGGTCTGCGCCTACATTGAGGCCAGGAACAAAACTCAATGAATCTTATGCTAATGAACAAAAACAATAGATTTTGCTTATTCACATTGCATTTGTCACATGTAAAGAATGGTGTTTGACCTAGAAAGAGAGGAATCAGCACATATGATTATTTTATCACTGAGATCATAAAGTTTATGCATCAGTCAATTCCAGCTGCACCCAACCCCCCTCCCCCCTTCCTTGACCTCACCCCCGTGAATTACCATTATTTTTCCCTTGGATGGCAAACTCCCAGGGGTGGGGACTCTCGAGCTGTCAAATCCCCCGGGGTGGTGATGAAAAAAGAGGGCAAATACCCCATCCTCCGTCAACACTGCAACATTTTTCATTGATCGCACCATCAAGGAGTGCCATTTTAAGCATTTTAATGTGCGATTTTTTGTTTCAATAAACGTCTTCCTTTGTAATAGTGCTATTCTAATTAAGACTTCACGCAGTGACGACATCAGTCTATAGTTTTAGATTATGTTATAAAATTATTGACATTAAAATTAATAGTGCACCATAAAGTTAACTGCTATGAATAGTTTTATAAATATGAAAGGATGTTCTTCAAATAATATCAAGAGAAACTTGATTCAATAACCAAAAAAATGTTGATTCACCTCGACAGCTTCTGAGCTTTGCTATGTAATTCTGGCTTGATAAGCAATGAAGACATGCGTGCATAAAATCGAGAACACACCTTTACAAACCTCTTCAATTTTTTCCCGTCCTTGACAAACAAGCGAATCTGCTTGTTTTTCTAGTAAAATCCTCTGTGTAGTTATATTCTAATAGGAAGCCGCGTGCGTGTCAACAGGCAAAGGTTGGCAAATGCCCGGCCCCCGGGCAGCGCAAGATTTGCAAATGCCCCACCCCCGGGACTGACAAGGCGGGCAAATGCCCCGTAGCTATACAGCTGTTTAGAGATTTAAGAAAAATAATACCATAAAGCATAAAGCAGAAGAACACGTCCATTCCTAATATATCATCGAATTATAACATCAAATTTCCTGCTCTAGAGTATGAGCGCGTTGCTGGTGGAGCTGATAATAAAATTTTCTCCTTACAAAGTGTTGTTGAATTAAATCAGTTATGAGTCGTGAACATAATTGGCCTTAAGGTCTCGGTAAATGAAAATTTTAGTACATTGCTCGATTTTGTTTTTTTGGGATTTTTGGCATGAGTGGGTCCTAAATTTTATTTTGGAAGAAAAAGAAAATCAGAAAGTGCTTTTTAACCCTTCTAAAATGAGCCTTTTCTGAGCTAACCAGCCAAGCGTGGACCTCGCGCTAAATCTTTAGAGCTGATTTTCTCTCACTCTATTTTAGACGCAAAAATCAAAATTCTCCGACCTCCAGTCGGGACAGGTTTTAAGCTATCGCTTTGAAACTTTCAGATACGATGGATAATGATATAGACTCAAAAAGGGTGTGAGGAATTTTCCGATTTCCCTTTGTAACTCATATTATGCCAGTTTCTTTGCGTAAATCGCGCTCGAGATTCGACTTTTTAGTTTGAAATGCAATAATTCCGCTAATACGAGACATATGCAAATTTCCTCACACCCTTTTTTAGGTCTTTTATCTGTCAATCAGATGCAATAAAAAGGAAGTGAATATTTAACAACGCGAAAGGGCTGGAGCTTCAGCAGTAAACTCGATACCTCTGAGTTCGAGAGCAAAAAAACTTAAGCGCCTTTTGAAATTCGATGAAATAAAATCTTTCATAAGGTAATTTAGTCTTTTAGCTTTAATTTGATATATAACTTGCCTTTGTAGCGAAAATACTCGCGCGACTAGAATTTTTTTCTGTGGGCACCTCGTTTTCCTTTACCGAGACCTTAAGTAAAAGGTTAACGAGATTTATGAACCGAGCTCTAGAATACAGCAGAACCTAGAACGGTCAGATAGAGAACTTACTTGAAGCAAAAAATTCTTCCATATCAGCAGTCGAAATTTCCTAAAATAATTCGCCATATTCGGGGAGTTTCCACCTGCACGTGAAGCTGGTTTCCAACAATAGAAGCCCGAAAAGGTGGCCGAATTCACATGTACAACGATGCCTTTTCAGTCAATCTCATAAAGAAGAAAAACACGAACAGACAAAGCAGAAAAGAATAGTGAAATGGCCCGCGTTCGTACTTCCTCCTTTGCCGGCTTCAAGGAATCAGGCCTCGAGTTGATGATGGACGTGTGAAAAAAAACACTGGGGGCTAGTAGAATAAAGAATGACATCATGTTTAGAACAGACAAGACGCTACGGAGCGTACACTTCGGCGTCCTGGTTGTAAATGCAGAGGAATACTACGAAATGAAATATGGTAAGAGTGAGGTGTTAATTTGTGAAATTATAGGATTTGTCAGGATATTCTGAAAAGAGCAACATCCAAGAGGCCTACTTGCCAAAAACTAGCATTTCGGGACAAATTGTCTCTGAGATATTAGCCCAGTTATGCTCTGGTGAGTCCATACAAATCCTTCTAAATTTGACCTGAAACGTTTAGACCTAAGTCAAATATGAGGTTACTGGCGGTCTAATAAAACAAATGGTGAAAAAAGAATTCTCTATTTTTCTTAGTCGGGGCTTCAAAAACAGCATAGCAGTCTCATGTAATGATTAAAGATATGTAAGGCATAGGTAAGGAGTCAATTGCGTTCGGCATGGAATTGGCTAAAACTCAATGTTAGGAGTTCGAATGTTTTGCGGATAATTATTCACTGACTAAGGAACACAGCCTCTAAAGAGCTTTAAAACACAGCATCCGCCAACACAAACTTGACTCGAACTTAAGTAAAACAAAACAGCCTCTGCCAATAATAACAAACTCTCACTTGAACTTCAGATATCTTACTGCTTTCGCCAACTTGCAAATACAGAACTTGAAAATCGACCTTCGTCACACTTGACTAAACACAGCAGTCCAGATCGTAGGGAAAACTTAGTTCGTCAAAAGAACTCGCTTGGAACTTGTATACCGTTTGACATAAGGTTCTAGAAAATACTAAACAGGCGAATAGTAGTAGCTTTTCGACATATTTTATGATTTCAGTAACTGATGCAACTCTACTGACTCATGCTGTAATGTAAACATGCCCTTATTAATTATTCATGAATAATCCAAAAACGTAGTGAACGTTCGAGAAAGTCACGCAACGCATGAAAGCGTAACATTCAACAAAGACAAAACAGTTCGAAAGGAGGTCTCACTCGTGAAATGTTTTTCAACACTCGAAGAGAAATTTCGTGTCTCTGCGCGGCCACGTATATCCTCT